CAAATAGCGAATACCATGACATTCACAAAGATAAAAATTTTCGTATGACAAAATTTTTTAAGATCTCACAACTCTCATGCCATTTTGCAAAATTAGATTTGTCCTACAGCTGTGATTCAACGCACTTTACATCAATTCACTTCAAACTATTATAAAACGTTGGGCAAGCTAAAATTTCAACAAGTTTGTAAATTTGTATAGAATTTGAAAATTCAGTTGTTCAGTTGTTGCATGCTTCCAAGTCTCCAATAAATCTATGAAGTTGAGGCCTCCGTTCCTTTTTGAAAATTTCCATTCAGCAAATGAAATCTAATTAGGAGAGAATATCAAGAATACAAGAGAAGAGATAGAGCAAATGTTTCAAACTATTGTTGAAATCTTAAAACAAGTGATGGGCGCCGCTTTGAAACATTATCTCCACTGTTTTGCGCTAATTTTTATGAACTAAACATGTGTCTTCATTCCAATGTGAAACAACAATGATTAATGGTTCCTCAAAATTTAAAAAATACAAATAAATGAACGAATTATTAGACAGATTTAAAATAATAATAATAAATTTAAAAATTTGAAGAAATGAATAAATCGAGTATAAAGAAAAGTAAACAATGGGAGATGACGTGACGGATCGACATGGAAGAATGTGAAAAACTTTCATCCGAGATGTGGAGACTATAAAAATTCCCAGATTTGATCATAATATATTATCTTTTGTTTTTATATATTTGATATTTGTAGTATTTTCATTCATATGTGTAACGGAATCGCTGCAACCATGTCAGCAGCGGTGGTGACATGCGTTGGTAGTATGTTTAGGAAACAGAAATAAGAGATAATTGGAAGATAAACATGGCATGCATAGTAAGTAGCCCGTGTAGATTCAAATGCTCTGAAAGAATAGACAAGATCAAAAAAGTTATTTTTTTTCTATAAAAAAGCAGACTGGTCTAACTGACATGGTGGTTTGGATGTGGATGAGGGTAACAATGGGATAATGTTTTGCAGACTTAATTACATATTTTAATCCAAATGAGTTTTAAATGGGCAATTTACTCTATATTTTAATTGTTAATTAAGTCATGTTAAACAGCGTTGTTTTAGATACATCATAAATACATATATGAATAAATATAATAATGTCTGAGTATAATTATATCATATACATATTACAATATATATGACTGTTTGTAGTGCACCGAAAAGACATTAATATGAATTGGACAAATAAAAAGTTTTAAATTATTTTGAAACAAAAACATTCAACCGCACCTCTTCAGCATTTGTAACATCGTCATAGAATAACAAATTAAATGAAGAACAACAACACTACGGTCGCCAAAAATGTCACGTCAAGACAGTTAAAAATCAATAGAGAAATAGAAGCAGCTGTTAATTATCAATTAATATATGTATATGACATGCTGACTAACAAACGTTCAAATCTGAATACTCGCACGCATCACGAAATGTTTTGAAGCAAATGTATGTACGTATGTTCTCACATACATTTTATGTGAGAATATAAATTAAATTAGCAGTAAAGATTAAAGCCATGAAACGTTTATAGAAAAAACACTAAACACTGATCGTGATGAGTCTAGAAATAGTTTCCATAGCAAAAACATTCAGGGAAGTAACAAATGTAAAATACGTCAAATATGTAAAAACAATATTAAAAATGTTTCTTTAAAAAAATAAATCTGAGCAAAAAATCTGAATAAGCAGTGAAAATGTCCACAACCATCACAGATATAGAAACGTGAAACATGAGAGACAAAGCAAAACGCTAGAAAAAAAGAACACAAAGGGTCATGTATTAAAATATATTATTGAATATTTATGCATTTCAAGATTTACCATTCCGTAAGGTTTCAACACTTAGTCTGAAAAATTTGTAAAAACTGAAAAGTTTGTACGTGGAGCTGTTTCATTCGGCATTATCAAGTATTCGAGATCATTCAAGTATTGCGTTGTGATTCAGATGATTCATTATTCCATTATTTCAGTCAGGCTAGGCACAACATCACACCACTCACTCATTTTAAATAAACAAATTTTTAAATACTGAAAATCTGACTACAAGTTAATGAATTTAAACAGGAAGCATTAAGCAGCCCATACAATGTTTAATACATAAAAGTTAATACATAAAAGCTAGATGAATGTGAATAGCATGATGAATAAAATAGACGACAAACATCTGTAAAAAATAATATAATATATCAACATGAAGACTTGTCAGGTGAACAACACTAATAAAAAATAGATGCAAATATAAAATAAAACACCAAGCAGTAAATAAGACACCTAATTTTGCATTGGCAAACTGCACGATACATATTATTTTCCGTACATATTATACAAACATGCAAGCAGAAAAATTACACAGTTTAACAAACAGACAAAAAGTAGAAAAATAAAGCCGAAAAAACGTTTCACACATTTCATTTGCATTTCGTTTTTGAAAAAAAATACAAACACTGATACAAAATGAATAACCATACATCATAATTCACTCATTCACTAGCATCCAGTCACTCATAATTCACTCATTCACTAGCATCCAGTCACTCATAATTCACTCATTCACTAGCATCCAGTCACTCATAATTCACTCATTCACTAGCATCCAGTCAATCATAATCTAGTTCGTCCACATTAGCCCGTAACGTTTAAATAATAATTACGATGATGGTGATATACAACCATATATAACATACATTCTTAAATAAAAAGTAGCAAATTAGTAAAAAAAATTTCATTTTTATAAATCATCATTTATCATCTTTTTATCATATTTTTATTAAAGTAGCAAATTAGTAAAAAAAAACATTATTTTTATAAATCATCATTTATCATCTTTTTATTTAGTTGTTCTTATTAGCACAATAAATGTAATTGTCTTGTCTTCCTAAAATATCTGTATCATCATCATCTTATTAACATCATCATCATCATCATCATCTAATTAATTAACATCATCATCATCTAATTAATTAGCATCATCATCTTCAGTTCATTAAACTGTGGTCACAATAATAAGCAGCGTGACAAAATATGCCAAGAGATAATAATTAAATGAATGAATGAATGAATGAATGAATGAATGAATGAATGAATGAATGAATGAATGAATGAATGAATGAATGAACGAATGAATGAACAAATGAATTAACGAATGAATTAATTAAAATTCATTAAAATTTCTTTATTTACACTTCGCGAATAAGCTAAAACAAATTTCAGGAAAAAAGAATAGCCGCGAGTAAGAATAAAATGATTAAATTATGAATTAATAAAACATATTTCAATAAAAAATTAAAAAACAAAAATTATTAATGGGAAATTAAACATATTGAATGTAACAAACAACGTCATTAAAATTTAAAATTTATACGCTCATCATTATCATCAGCCCTGGTATTACCATCACCATGGTTTAAGAACGTCCGATCTGGGATTAATAAGGTTAACGTGGTCTTCGGTGGAGGTGTTGATGGTAGGATGGCTGGTTTCAGAGCTTTTGGTGGTGGTGGTGGTGCGGATGGTGGTGTGGCTGGTTTTATGACTACTATTTTTGTTGGTTGCGTTGTTGCTGTTGCTATTTTTATTGTTGCTGTTGTTGTTTGTTTATTTTCTGGCAACAACGCCAGCGACGACGACGATGACGTTGTTGAAAAGGATTGAACTGGTATGCAGGGTAGGGCAGTGAGGCAGACGCCACTTGATGGAGTGAACGGGTCATCTTCATTCTTAAGCTCCGTGCTGCTGTCCACGGTCAAGTGGGTCTTGTTGGTGTACTTGCCAGAAGAGGAGGTGTCCTCTTTCGTCGCGTTTCTATTCTCATCTGAGGGTCGTTGGAAAATTGTATGGTGTCATTTTAAACATTTTTTTATTTAACTTTTATATGTACATGTTCATGCAAGTAATTGCATAATAGAAACCTTATAAATATTTTCAAAATCAATGAATTTAAATGGAATCTGTCACAAACTTGAAGAGAAGTTTAATAAATTTTCCTTCGAAGAGGACAGAGACATGTAGGAAGTTCTTCTGACTTGCGCTGGCTGGCTCACTGAAACGTGCAACGTGAATAAAAAGTTTAGTCACGCATGCCTTCTCTCACTATGTTGAAAGACATCAGTCAACGTTAACCACCGGACAATTAAATACAAATTTTTTTCATTTGGTATTAAAAAACAGCAAACAAATTTTAAAGTTTTCTTATTTTAATTACCAATAAAAGATGAATGTATACTTGCAGGACACGAAACAGAGAAAAATTATTCATTATAAATTGCCTAAAGGAAATTAGAACAAAAGATAATAGTGTAGGAGCATTAGAGAAGATAAGTTACATGGTGGTTCGCAGGCAATGGACATGGATGACAGCTCGTTCTCGTTGAAGATCACTTTCACGTTGTTCAAATAATGCAGTGTTTTCTTACTCATCATCAACTGTAAAAATATATTAAAACAATGAAACGTAAGCAAAAAAAATGTTTAATAAATAAATAAATTTGTTAATTAACAAATTAATTAATTGAATAATTTCAATCCCCGACCACCTTTCAATAGGCGATTTCATTTCAATCATCTAATTCATCAACCATCTAATTAATTTCAATCGGCAGTCACTCACAACTTCATTCACAAAACGAAACCTCAGCCCTGTTCGTTCATAATTATAACGCCTGCCTGCCCCCCGACGAACCTCTTCATAGAAACGTTTGTGAAGCACCGGAATGCTCTTCTTACGCTTGGTGTCACCATAAGCTGTTGAGCTCTTGAACGGCTTGAATGTGTCGTGCTCATCCTGCAAAGTGGGTGAGGTCGTGATGAAGTAGGTGACAAAATTATATAAAATTAAAAATTAATTTTTAACAAGTTAATGAAATAAAAAAAAACGAAAAAACTGTTGTGACAAACCTTGTATGATCCAGCAGTGATGTTGTTAAAGTTCCTGACCTCCCGCGCCAGCATCCTCATCTTTTCAAAGTTGACCAGATGACTGGAGGCCATGGTGTCGTTGCACAGGTGGATGAAGGTCAGATCCTTCTTAAACATCGGGTAGAATGGAATCTATGAGGTTCATTTTTCAAAAGTTTTGCTGACTGATCGATGCTTCATGCACAAATGCAAAATATATTTCAGATCTTAAACAGAGGGTAGTTGTCATTCATCGTAGTGAAGAATCTGCTCTTCCATAAATCATTCATTAGTTTCATCCCACCTAGCATTCATCGAGCGACAACATTAGAGACATTTTAATTGTGGAAATGATGAACATTTCCAACCGCACATCTACGTCCATCACATGACTCAAGCTTCGCAATTTAGAAACAAATGAAAAATACGTGAAGAAATGCTCATTATACACCAAATAACATCTATTATGAAACTTCAAAGTTTACATATGTTAAACTTTGTAAAATATTTGTATTTATATTAAAATATTATTAATTTGTATTAAAATATTTATATTTGTAAAATCTATTTTTATTTTGTATTTTTTATTTTTCTATTTGTAAAATCTATTTTTAGATTTTGGTACTAGGTACTGTAAATAACATATGGTACTAAAACAGATGAAGCAAACAGTTCGTAGTTGGAATAAAAATAACATGTTAAACAGCATTTACATCAGCTAACAAAAAGCGCAACAATAGCAAGAACATCAGGAACGTACAGCTGGATGGTTAGGTGACTTGGAATTCACGAGGTTTCTGTACTTGGCCATGTTACGTGATGGGTTCATGTCCTCCTGCAGCTCCTGTTTCCATGTTTCGGTTTGTTTTTCATTAATGTACAACAACAAACAACACACGTTTAGACGACATTTTCCCCGAGATCGGGGGTTGCCGTTTGGCTACCTATGATGAAACCGAAATACCCCTCGACGCCATCCACATCTGTCACTCACCTCAGTATCACGCAACCCCGCTTTCACCCTGTCCTTCTCCACCTGCTCTCTCCATCCCAATCGCGGACGACCCCTTCCTACCACACCTTCAATCTCGAACTCCAACGCTCGCCTAATCCCGACCCTTTCATCCCTTCTCAACACATGTCCATACCACCGCAATCTCGATCTCCTTATCAATGTCACAATGTCCTCATTCAGTCCCATCATTGACATCAGCTCTGTACTACTCCTCCTATCCTATTTCTTACATTTGAACGTGCCTTCCACCTTTTTCAGTGCCCCCCTCACACCACTACATCTCTTATGCACCCATTTCTGACATCCTATACACAATACCGAGTTAGCCTTCACTCTCCTGTCAAATACCCCACAGGGGTCTATTTTACTTATCACTCGCTTCCCACCTTCCCCACTCACCATTACCTTCGTCTTACCAATATTAACTTTTAACCCTTTCTTTTCATAACACTTTTCCATCTGTCAAATTTTAACTGCAATTTTTCCATGCTATTAGCCATCAAGACTAAATCATCTGCATACAAAATCTCAAATAACAACCCCTCCATTATGTTTCCACACACAACATCCATCACAAATCCTTGATGCACTCCTACCTTAACACTAAAAGCGTCCGACATCCCCCTTCCAACCCTCACCTTTGTCTTTGCCCCTTCATACAGCTGCATCACAGCTTTAACAAGTCTCTCATTCACTCCTTTCTTCCTCAACGCCCATTCAATGACCTTTCTCGGTACTCGATCAAAAGCCTTTTCTAGATCCACAAAGCACATGTACAATCTTCGTTTCTTCTTTCTATAATTCTCCTGCAACATTCTCACCATGAACAACGCATCCACCGTTCCCCTACCAGGCATAAACCTACACTGCATTTCATTAACTGTCACCATATTTCTCAACCTCCTCTCAAGCACCCTCTCCACTACCTTCATTCCGTGCTCTAGCAATTTCACACCCCTATATGACCCACAATCTCTCACATCTCCTTTGCTCTTATACAACGGCACCAACACACTGTGTCGCCAATCCTCAGGTATACCTTTATCATCAAACATACTGTTAGCAATTCTCATCATAACTTCAATTCCTATCACCCCACTCGCTTTTATATGTTCTGCCGCCACTTCCGAAACCCCTGTCGCCTTACCTAGTTTCATTTCTCTAACTGCTTTCTCAACTTCCTCCATCGTCACCTTCTCTATAGGTCCGTGTGTGACCGCGGATTCCACATCTCCATCCCACTCATTCTCTTCATTCATCAACCTTTCCACATGAGCTTTCCACACCTGAGCTTTTTCCTCCTCATCTATGCACAACTTGCCAGATCCATCCCAAACACATCCATTCCCTATAACATCTTTTCTATCCCTCATTGACTGCTTTGCTACTTTGAATATTTTCCTCGAACTCACATCAAATTCCATTTCCTTCGTTAACCTATCTGATGCTTTCGTCATTGCAGTTGCCACTGCCTGTTTTGCAACCTTCTTAGCCTTCTTATACTCAAACTCCGCTTCCTCCGTCATGTCCCTTCTCCATACCCTAAACCTCTCCTTCTTGACCTCCAAAACCCTTCTTATATCTTCATCCCACCACCACGTCTCACCATGCCTACACTTTCCTTTCGTCCATCCACATACTTTATCTGCCGTAGCCAACACACAGTCCCTGTATCTCTCCCAAACATCTCCATCCTTACCATACCACTCTCCCAATTTTCAGCCACCTTCACTTCAAATGCCTTCCTCACCTCTGCATCCTGCAACTTCCATGTCTTTCTCTTTGCCACAAACTTATCCTTCTTCCTCCTCCCCATTTCTTTTGATGTCACATCCATCACAACCATACTATGCTGCAGCATACCAGGTATCGCCTTCACATTCTTCACATACTTCCTATGTTTGGCCCTTACCAATATATGGTCTATCATCGACCTATGCTCCCCTGACCTATATGTAATCAATCGCTCTGGTTCCCTTGTAAACCAGGTATTCCCCACCACCATGCTATGTGCATCCGCCAATTCCAACACTCTACGCCCTTCCTCATTCCGTATACCTTCATATCCGTCTGCATCCGCCCCCACATGACCATTCAAATCACCCAAAAACACCACAAACTCATCCAATCCCGCTTGCCCAATCTCGTCAGAAACATCATCATAAAACCTATCCTTCTCCTCTTCCTTCCTACTTTGTTGCGGAGCATATCCTGATATCACCCTCACTATTACTTTTCCAAACACCATCACCACCACAATTACACCATTGCTTATCCGCCTCACTTCCAACACCTTCTCCACCAACTCTTCTCTTACCATCACACCAACTCCTCCCGTACCATCATCCCCCTTCCACCACAACTTATATCTTCCACCTTTAGCCCCCACAAACCTTGTACCCTCACCCTTCCATCTGATCTCCTGAAATGCAGCCACGTCAACCATTCTCCTCTGCAGCTCCTCCACCACTTCCAAACTTCTTCCTGTCAACGTGCCTACATTCCAGGTACCAAACCTCCAACCCCTTGGTCTACAAGTAGTCCTTCCATCTATAGTGCCTTGCACCGCCACACTATAGAGTGGGGTGCCAGTAGCCAGACCATCCACAGGGCCTTGCACCACAACCCCATAGACTGGGTCTCCGGAGATTCTTCGCACCCTCTTCTGCCGGATACTGAGGGCCATTGTTATTTCCGTCATCATAAGTATTATTTTTTGGCTAGTTTTTACGCAGGACGCCCTTCCTTACGCAACCACAGTTATAAGCGGTGGGCCTAGTCTTTGATGATCCAACATCACTCACAAGGCAGTGAGGGTCAGTTTAATGTCATAACCAGGACAAATTTCATTAATTTCATTTTGTTTTTCATTAATGCGTAGTTCATTATTCAACTGCTAACATGTGTACGTTGAAGGCAGTGCATTACTTTAAAAATCGTTTTTGTAGCATCGTTATAATTATAATAAACTTGTTAAACAACTAAAAAAAATGGAGACAACATGCAGACATCAACAATTTTTGAATTTAAGTTGGGACTGAACAATGAAAAGCAACTGATACTTTTAATTTTCCGTTGTGGTGTCAACAACACATCTTGAGGCTTTAAAAAATTAGTGCAGTCTTAAGTTGCGACGATAAAGAAGACGAACCTCGAAAAAGTTGAGATACTTGGGAGGAAGTTTGTCCCACGTTTGCTTCATTCGGCTGACTGATCCGTGCATAAGGCCGCTTGTTATGGCGAATGACGAATTGAAGTTCTGCGCTCGTCTGCAAAGTTCTGCAAGAGAGGGGAACCATCTACGTATACATACATCATACAGGGGAACCATCTACGTATACATACATCATACAGGGGAACCATCTACGTATACATACATCATACAGGGGAACCATCTACGTATACATACATTCAATCATTCGACAACAGATATGAATACGCAAATATGTCTGATTTAAACATTCGTGATGAACAAGTGTGAGTAAAAATTGTAAAAGAGTTGTATCAACTATTGAATAATTGAAAGCCACAACTACAATTAAATAACATTAAAAACTAAACGGCCTAATTGCCGAACAGTTTAGGTTACAGATTTCATTACAATATTGATTATTTGAAATAATAAGGTAGCAATAACTAGTAAGCCAATTTAACCATGTTGAACAGTTCCACAGCAAAACGATAACTTACTTGCAATCTTAATGAAGTGTTTCACGAGTTTCATCCTCTTAATGATGTCCTGTTCTGAACAAATTTCAGTTATCACCCAGAACATTTCCTCGTTGGATAGCTGTACATTTCATTTTAAATATGTCAATCAGCAACGACGTATTAGTCCTTATCTAAACATTCAACCAATCATCAATCGTTAATCAGTAGGACAACAATGCAATCAGTCACTCGATAAAAAATCACAACAATGCAATCATCAATTAATCAATCAATAAACCAACCAATCAACAGCACATCAATGCAAACCAACACACAAACATTTGAAAACTTCTCAAGATTAGCCTTGCATGACTTTTTGTTAAGTTTGGAGCACATGAGGTCAACGACATGTTCTGATGGTTTGATCGACCTGACCAGGTCATTGGACTTCAGGGTTAACCTGACGGCAACCTCCATGGCGGGCAGGTCAAGGAGAGTGAAACGACAGTCCTGCATTACAATTGGAATGCTTTCATCAGGAACTGCTATCGTTGACATGCTGCTGTGTTTCAGGTAATACCTGCGGTGCGGTTGTTCATGGACGTCTTAATAATGCTGCCAACTGATGTTTTCATTTTCTAGTTGTATCAATAAAACTAGAATTGAAACAAATTTAACGAATCAAGGCAACAAAGTTTAAAAATATAAATACAATCTAATAAGCTCAATATCTCGAGAACATAGAGCCAACAAACGCAAGGACGGGGTTGAGTGGTGGCATTGAAAGAGTGGAAAGCTTTGTTTACTTAGGGGTAAGCTGAACGTGGATGGAGGATGTTTGAGCGCAGTTACGGCTAGAGTTCGTGTGGGATGGATGAAATTTAGGGAACTGGGTGGGGTATTGTGTGGAAAGAAATGGTCAGTGAAGATGAAAGGGAGGGTATATAAAGCATGTGTGAGAGCAGCGATGGTATATGGTGGTGAAACTTGGGTGTTGAGGAGAGAGGAGGAAAGTGTACTGCAGAGGGCTGAAAGAGCTATGGTGAGGATGATGTGTGGGGTTAAAGTAAAGGATAGGAAGAGTAGTACAGAGCTGATGTCGATGATGGGACTGAATGAGGACATTGTGACATTGATAAGGAGATCGAGATTGCGGGGGTATGGACATGTGTTGAGAAGGGATGAAAGGGTCGGGATTAGGCGAGCGTTGGAGTTCGAGGTTGAAGGAGTGGCAGGAAGGGGTCGTCCGCGATTGGGATGGGGAGAGCAGGTGGAGAAGGACAGGGTGAAAGCGGGGTTGCGTGATACTGAGGTGAGTGACAGATGTGGATGGCGTCGAGGGGTATTTCGGTTTCATCATAGGTAGCCATAAGGGCAACCCCCGATCTCGGGGAAAATGTCTTTTAAACGTGTGTTGTTGTTGTTGTTGTATAGAGCCAACAAATTGTACCTACCTAGCATTGATGGCTAATCTGTCAAAGAGGTTGTTAGTGTGGTCGGCCAGCATGCGAGTCTTCGTGTAGCCCTCCTTCTCAAACAACACCTCACATAACGAGTAAAATCTACGCGAAAAAAATGTTAAACTAATATGATTGTCTAAACAAGGCATCTGAAAATATCCATATTGCCAATATTTAACAAAAATTAAGCTTTGAGATCTATCTACATTACCCAGTTACATAAAAAAGAAACGCTTCTTCAATTACGTTACAAAAAAGTAATGTAAATTAATCGTCAATGCTATAATATATTCATGTAATTGCCGTGATTGTAGTTCTATTGATAAAACTGTGATGTTGGTGATATGGCAAGTGTAAAGTTTGTTGATGTAACTGTAATGTCTCAATGCATTAGCGAGATGACTAACTAACCCAGGATTGTCAACGCATCCAAATTCATTGAGGGCCATCACAACAACGTCTCGACTTGTGGTGTACTGTGTGGTCAGATCAAACAAAATTTCATTCATACATTTGCAATCAGCAACATTAATTGCAGTCGATTTTATTTGCCCCAAAAGGAAACAAGAAAAAAGTTGATGAAAGATGTAAGATATAAAACTGAATCAAGTTGTTACAGCGTGAATGATAAAAGAAGGAATGAAAACGTGCATAAAGCCAAGACTAAAATTTAGTATGAGACAATCTGAGGTAGAGAATAGGTAGGGATTGATAATAGCCGTACCGTGACTTATAATAATATTATTCATCATGAATGAGTTAATAAAATTTATCTGAATTATTATTGTGTAACATCATCTTTATGAATTAGTGTTATGCTTTCGTTGTTAAAAATACTTTATTCAATCCAGAAAAGTTTTTCTAAATAGCAATATTTATTCATCTTAAATTAAGCCAACTCAATGATGAGCAAACAGACCTTGCTAATGAAAACATTCCTGTATGAATGATCAACCATAAAGACCCTGATGATGACGTCATTGTTCGGACCGTCAACAGTTGACCTGTTGGGGGCCATGAAGGGGCCGCGTTTGTGGGAAAGGTTGTGGTTTGAATGGCGGTGGACGTTGGGAGAAGGCAGGGAGAGGTGGTGGTTGTCCAGGAGATCGGGATTGCTGTTGCTTATGGTCTGGTAACATCTGTTGGATTCTATCTGTGATAGTTTGCACTTCTTTCGCACGAAGAGAGTTTTGAATTTTGATGACGTTGATGAAGACGATGACGAAGAGGATGAGTATGACGATGTGTTGGTTGATGAAGAAGAAAGTGACGACAATGATGAGGAAGATAATTCTGGGTAAGATTTCTTCCTGCTGAAGATGTAATAAATAAATTTATTTCAATTTAACTCAAACAATTTCATAAAATGTTACATGAAAAAAATTAAAGATCATCATTGCCGCGATGAAAAAAAGGGAAAAGTTTAAAAACTGATAAGCATTATCAATCAGTATAGAAAAATGAACGAAACAGAAACAAAAACGCCAAAGACAGTGCAGCACAGAACAGCACATCAATAATTAGTAATTAGCGTTCACTTGTTCTATATAAACAACACACTTTCAGGTTTTCACACAGCGGGGATTATTAATATTTATTCACCCAACCAAAGAAGCCACGAAGATTTGAGATGTTATGAAAGATTACAACGAGAAATATAAAAAATTTCAGAAAAAACAAAAATAATGCTTCATATGGAAATGAAAAAAGGTCATTCAATAACAAAATGGGGATGCTTTTTATATCAGTGAATATTTGTTTTAGCATTTAATTTTGAGAAACAAATAACATGAAGAGAAACAAAAACTGGAATATTAGACAATAACCTTGAAAAAACACTGCAGAATCATTTTATATTAATGCAATTAGAATTTTCAACAAAATAAACAAAAAACAAAACCCAAACACGTGAACAATATTTAACTTAAATGATTTTATGACATTAGAGTCCGACTAATAAACGCTAACCCAATAGAAAACAATCTGGTGAGTCTGAAAAAAGTTCCATTGTCGACATTGTCGTCATCTAGGACAGCTCCATCGTCGTCAACGTCGTCATTGCTCGTCAATATTGACATCTTGTGCATGAGTGGAGACACATTGAAGGAATTGTTCTGTCTGTCAGTCACGTTCCTGCTCGAACAAGTTGAATGCTGCAAACTTCCAAACTTTCTGTTGCCTCTCCAATAAAAGCAGGATTTGTTGTGCGGTTCTACGCTCTTCAACGCACATGCCTTTTGGAAGGCTATTTCGAAAATAACAAATGATAGCAATTTAATTATGAGATGATGAGATAACGGGAGTGTGTAAACTGCTTTAATATGAGATAATGAGGTAATGAAAATGTAAACCACGACGAAAGATGTAATGGTTAGTATAGGATTATTACCAATCAATTAATTCTCCCCTAATTTATGAGCAGTTATTAATTATCTTCCAACTTCACATTCATCAAAGAGCTGTAACAGAAATATTTCGCTTGCACACTTCTCATATTTATATCTTCTAGCATAACATAATTTCTTGTCATGATTATCGTAAAAATAGGAGTAGTCGAGTAATCAGTGGCTGGCGTCTGCCACCGGAGGATACGCTTGAAAATAGGCTGCTGCCAATATTATAACAACGAATAATTGCAGCAGCAGCCAAAGCGGTAGTAGCACTAGCAGTAGTAGTTAAAACAGCAGTAACAATTAATGTAGCGGCAACTGTGGTAGCAGTAAATGCGTTAGCAGCAGTAATAACAATATAAGCTGCAATTGTAGTAGTGATATTGCTGGCGGTAGCAGTATCAAAAGTAGTAAAAGAAGCAGGTGTCAAACACGATTACAATCGTTTTTTTAATTGCTTTGTTAAATGGTGGTTAAGCAAAGGCCTCAGTCACATGAAAGTGAGTGTTCCTATTAGCATATTCGTGTTCCAATTAGCAGAAATACTATGAGTAACTGATATGGCACGTAAATGATGAAACTGTCACGAACGGCTCATTGCAACCACGCTCACAACTAAATTGAAAATACATGACTTTAGCATTAAAATAAAAACCACAAAGCGAATGTTTCAGTGCATAAAATTTTTTCAAATTTATTTTTAAATATTTATATTGTATAAAATAAATTATTTTTAATAGTAGCAAAATTACATAAAAAGATAAAAAAAGAAACAAATTGATGAATGAATCGTTGTAGACTTGGACGGATTATATATAATATATATAAAATAATCAAGCAATAACAATTTTGAACAATTACATCGGATGATTCAGTAGTTGAATGCCGACCGACCGAGCAACCAACCAACAAACCAACCAACCAACCAACCAACAAACAAACCAACCAACCAACCAACCAACAAACAAACCAGCCAACAAACCAACCAACCAACCAACTGACCGGCCAACCAACTGACCGGCCAACCAACCAACTGACCGACCAACTAACCAACCTTGGTGGTTGTACTTGAGCTTGATGATGAGGTGCGTCCTCTCTTTGATGAATGAAGTTGCCGCTTCCGTCATCATCAAATCAAAATTCTGACTGTTCACTTCTAATATCTTTAATTATCAACATTGCAGGTTGAAAAACTGATGATGTTTAGTGGAGGGAAAACAATAATTGAAGAGTGAGGAGTGAAACAAATTAAAAATTAATTGATTAATGAATGTATCGACTAATGAAAAAACTGTCAGCAATTGAACCACCTGATCTCCGACTCTCATTCCATCTCTGTAGAGTTTGGACGACTTGTCAACCTTCAGAACAAACACACCTTGGACTCCCAAATCTACAGCACTGATGAGTACGAACTTGAGACTTTCCTGTTTGTCGGATCGACTGAGGGTGATGATGCGAGGCTGGGAGTGTGTGGCCAGCGCCATCTCCAGCATCTTGAAGTGACCGACCATTGCCTGAAACATTTCGTCATCATAAAGTGCTCTACATATTTTTTTCTTTTGAATGTCGAAGTGAAAATTAGTTGCGAATTTATGCATAAAGCCTTGCGTTGTGTGACTGATTATGCTAAAATAAAGTAATGTTCAAGTGAAACTAACGTGCACAACAAAGAGTGACTTGAACATTTCCACGTAACTGAGCATCTGCTTGTTGTCTTCAAAGTCTTCAAAGTGGTTATTCATCCAGAGAATGAGGATAAGAGCGATGGCGTTTTTGTTACTCTTCTCCTTGAAAACTTCGTACAAGTAGCTGATGATCATGACTGGGTCATCTATGAAGACACGATAGGTCAGCAAGAAATCTTCTATGTAAGTTGGGTCACATGAATTAGTTTCAAATAATTGGGTTATCAACTTTTTCTTTGTGCCCTGGTAAACGAGTTCAGTTAAAACTAAATTGTAAAGCAAACAAAAGATTTTGAAAAAATTCTTCAATTGTTTTGTTTTAAAAAAAATATTTTAGGTATTCTCCTATAATTACGGACAAGTATAATTTTAAGCAGTGAGTCATTAATGAAGACAACTTCATAACAGTAAGAGATGTGTACAACGTTGTGAGGGCACAAACGTGAAAGGAAATTAAATATCAATAATTTGAAGAGAGCTAACAGTCTCAAACCTCACTATCTCCACTATTCATATGGCCTATGACCTACCAATATAATTCTATTTTCCTCGTTTCACACCTTGCATGTTGTTACTTTCTCAGCGTTTAGAAGAGTTTGATTTACAGAACCAAAAAAAATATGGCCTCTAACAACTTAATGTTTTTTTATTCCGTAGAAACTATATATATATATATTTTTAGAGCTGCAGCAGTTGTTTACAAGCAAAATGTTCGAAATATAAAACTAATGAAACCACCTGCACGACTATGTAGCCATTTTTTCTGTCTTCGTCATTATCAGAACAGCGAAACTTTTCCAGAATCATGACGATACTTCCATTATCTTCTATGGTCATCTTGCTGTCTTCATACTGTGACCATGTGATAGAATGATGAGTCATAATCATCAAATATAAACTTTGTAACAGAAACACTCATCAAAATAATTATAATTAACCATTATTGCTGCTACTACCTTAACAGATGCAGAGTAGTTATAAGCAGCGATGATGTTATCATGATTGTGATGTGATGTGATGTGATGTGACGTGTGGTCGTGATGTAATGTGACATAAGGTGGCGTAATGATAACAGCCTGAGATGATTTGCTTGCTTGGGTGTAACGATATCTCACAATTAACAATTAATCAGTTCAGTCTTCAAGAATTTTGATAGCGAATGTTACATTTATTTCTAAATGGTCCTTGTTTATCAGGCTTACATGAGAAATAAACGTTTCAGTATGAAGGATTTCAAAACTAAAAAAAATAAAAATAAATAGTTTCAAAGCATTATACAAAATGAAACAAATTTGTGTATTTTTTTATAAATTATTTCTCCACAAGAAAAACTCATCAAATTGAAAATCTAGTTTTATAACTTTACAAATTAAAACAATAGTTCACCAGCAACAGCAGGCCACTACTACATCAATGTCCTCACACCACACTTGCAATCGATACAGAGACAGTCAAACTTGGATGGCACCTAACCTCGTGAAATATCCTGATGTACTCAACTTTCTCAACAATCAAGAGTTGACAGTTTGCCTGATTGGTGAAGACACACCCATCTTGCTTGTACACTAAACTCTCATCGTCATCGTTGTTCGTTATGCCAAACCTGTTTGCCAATTATTCGAAATAAATTCTTTATTAACTGGAAATACTTCTATTACGTAAGCAGTGCTAGAATTAATTGAGCCACGTGTAAAAATGACAAAAGTCAACGCAAACAAAAAAGTGATGATCATTTTAAAACTTTTTATTATTGAAAGTGCAAATCTATTAGGCAATAATAAACTTCTGAATAATAATTAATATGGCAAAAAAATTAATTAAAATTTGTGTTCTTATAACTTAATAGAATGGGTGGTTGTTACGATTATATAATCGTGAACTGCAATGGTTAGTTAGTTATTGTATAATTAAGAGCCAACAATAAACATAACATGACAAATGATCTACTAACGCTTGTCCAACATTCAGAACATCAATGGAACCATCTGCCTTCACAACCTTGACACTGCCATTCAAGACAACATACCAGTTTTTTAGCTCCTCCCCATCACTCAAGATCAGCCAATCAGATTGCTGGAAGCATTTAACAGTCATCTGCTTGCATAGATCTCTCTTCACTAATTGGCTCACATTGTTGAAAGCCTTTATGACAATATTTAACAAAAATCAAGAAAGTATATTATTAGATTAGATTAGTTGGATAAGTAAGGTAACATGCAGCAAGTTCATTTTTGTACAGTTTAAACAATTGTGACTGCAATTGAGTTACCAGTCTGTTTTGTGCATGCATACCTATAAATGCTTCTGTTGTTATTTTTTAACGCAACTTCAACCAGCAATAACATAATGAAACAAAAATTCAAAAATATTCCAACTATTTTAAATTAAAACTTATGAAATTTTAAATGATAAAAATTCACGGTGGAAACTACAGGCAGTAGCGATAAAATTAGAAACCAAAGCTGAAACCATTTTTTGGCGTTGCATAAATTAGTGATGAATCATAAAAAAAAGATTTCTAAGGTCAAATGATCTGCAGCTTCATCATCACAAGCAACAAATCCCTATCTAACTGCATTACAAAAAAAAAGTAATGATCAAAGAAATTAAGATCAAGGATGAAATAAGAACATTAGTCATCACAACAACCCATCACAATCAACCTTACATTCCACAAGTACAAGATTTTTTAATAATTTTTATGTTATTCTTAATAGACTGCTGACATGTTTGTGGCAGGCTATAATATTAACATAACAGTTTCTGTTATAATCATTCAAATTTTCATGATGTCATCACTATGTTCACCATCATCGTCACCATCATCGTCATCATCATCACAATTACCACCACCGCCACCGTCATTCTGGTGATTATCATTACCATCATCACCATTCTCATCAAGCAAACATCAGCACCTTCTATCAACGTCATCATCATCATCATCTTTTTCATCTTCATTATAAACCGCCATCATCATCATCACCACCATCCTTACTGTCATCATCACCATAATCATCACCATAATCATCATCATTATCACCATCGTCGTCATCATTACTATAATCATCACCATCGTCATCATTTAACGTACTCACAATCATATATTTAGTGAAGTCCATGAGTAACTCAAGGTCGTCATCATCCCTGTTGGATCCAAGCTTTTCAAGAATCTTCATCACTTTATCATTCTCGCTCACATTAACATTCTGTACAATAAAAAGAAAGAAAAGATGATGACGGAATGCAATATTACATTGAAGGACAAATTGATTATTATTATTTAAACTAATAAATTTTTCAATAAAAATTATCACTAATAATAATCAATAGCTTTATTGCTAAAACCTCCTGAGTTGGAGAGTCATTATTGAATAACGTCATCGTAATTGTGATGCAATGTGATGTGATTGGGATGATGAAAATGATATGTGTGTTGTGATGTGCTGTAATGTGATGTAATTGTATTGTGAAGTGATGTGATTGTGACGTGTGTGTGTGTGTGTGTGTGTGTGTGTGTGTGTGTGTGTGTGTGTGTGTGTGTGTCTGTGTGTGTCTGTGTGTGTGTGTTGTAACAATTACAACGTCTGTCAACAAAAAACAAATTAATTATTTACTCCAACCAACAAAACCAAAACAAAACAGTTTACACCACAAAAATAAACAAAACAACATAAACCCATCTGGCCAATTATGAAATATTATTTACACTAGAAGCTGCCAATGTGTGCATAAAAGTGTGCAAACACCCTTGTATATGTGTATAAATTGGTGTGTGTGTGTTTGTATGTGTGTGGTGTGTGTATGTTGAGTGTGTGGTGTGTGTATGTTGAGTGTGTGAATGTGGATGTGTTAACGTGTGGGTGTAGCTTTAAGTCACCTTAATTTAAAAAAATTATTCAAGAGATAATGAAACATAATGATCAGACCCAAAATTCTGATAAAAATTACCTGATATATCCTGTCATCATTATCATCCTGACCAAGTCCTTCATCGTCGTCGTCGTCGTCATCAAAACCAACGATATTAATTTTCTGAAGGCAGGCTGTGACACTCATATTAGCGCTGATGGTGTTGTGGTCGCTGTCGTTGCTGTTGTTGCTGCTGATGCTGCTACTACAGATGCTACCGATGGTGTTACATTCCTGTTGTTGTCCAATAAATATTGAGGAGAGTTATATGAAGGCATTTGTTTGTATAGGGGAATGAAAATATAATTAAGAAACTCTATGTGCGTTTCTATGTTTGCATGTAAGTTTGTTTGCATGTAATATAAGAGTTTGTATGTCTGCATGTAAGTGTGTTTGCATGTAATATAGGAGTTTGTATGTTTGCATGGAAGAGTTTGTATATATATATATGTATGAATTTTTTTTGTATATGTTTGTATGTTTGCATGTATGGGTTTGTATATGTTTGTATGTAAATCTCTATAAAAGTTTATGTGACAGGTTGTATGTGAGTTCGTATGTAATTTGTATGTATGTAAGTTTTGTATGAATTTAGACACTTCTCCTCATATAAGATTAAACCAAATTACTAAATTTTTATTTAGTAATAGGGTAATAGTAATAATAATAATAAAAATAATAATAATAATATCCAACATTGATGAAACACTGGCAGATGGTTTATAATTTATTTTCTAATTATTATACAATGCTAACATGTGAAAACCATTGTATTACATTACAACTTTAAATTAAATGAACCTAATGAGATGTGAACAGCAACAGACAACAAGCCAGTGTTGGTAACTTCCTAACTTATGAATAATTCCACTCACATCATGCTCTTTGTTTGTTGTTGGTGTCGACATACTCAATCATTTAAGAGCCAGTGCATTTTATATATACAACTATTAAGTTACTGGCAAACATTTTACTGAATCACATCTATAAGTTTCATTCTTTCTAGTGTTAATTATCACAGATTTACATTCCATGTGTCTAACTATCTACATATCCATCTCCAATTATAAATTGTCACAATTAATTAATAGAGGAAATAAAGTAGTTAATTAAATAATTAATTAATTCCAATAACGGAAAATTAAGAATTATGAGATGAAGAAAATGACGATGATGAAGAGAATGATGTTAATGAAAACAAAACCTTCTATTGCAGAACAAAGTTGGATAATATACACCAAACACATGTGTCAAACAAAATCACTCACACACTTCCATAACAATTCTTCAAATGCCATCATTATTAATGTTAGACACATGCCAGCTAGTTAGATAACTTCTTGCATGAATAGATCAGATGTTAATTATGCTTGAGAAACATTTATATAAAAAAAAATTAATAAGCACCATAGATCAATTGCTATTCATTAGAACATTCCACAAAAAATGTATATTATTCATCTACATTCATTTTTAACTTGTTAAGAATAAACATTTAAGAACTAATGTAAAAAAAAACATCAATTTGAAAAATAAAATCAAACTTATAAAAATTGTTGGAAAGCAAAGCAAAACCAACTGCCATTAATAAACTATAAAGTTAACAAAATCACAACATAAAATAGAATTAGAAAGTGGAAAAACACACACACCTAAAATAGCTGAGGAAAATCCAGAATTGAAAATAATAACAAAAAGTTTTTTTTAACAGTTAATCATCAAATTATGGATATAGCATGGATGAATAGCAGCCCTTAGAGACACTTTAATTGACAATTAAAGTAAATTTCAGGAAAGCTTCAAGCTAATTGCTTCTTTCTTTCTTATTAACAAATCCCTAACCAGTGTGGTAGAAATAAATTATAGTAGTATACACAGACTTAATTAATTTTTTTTTTATTAACTGCCATGTAAAAAATTCACACACTTGTAAAATAACACTTTTAAAAAAAACTTTTTTTTAAGAAAAATAAACTTACTCTAATTTCAAGGTTTTTAGTTTTAAAAACTTATGTGTATCAATGTTTGTATCTAGATACATTTTAACGTTTGAAAGCTCTAAAAATCAAATACCAATATATATCTTCACCTTTTAAATTAGTGACATAATTTAATTTAAGCACACAAATAGAAGTTATAAAAATATAAACCTTCAAAAAAAAATAGCTAATGCTATTAAAATTCCAATAAACAATTATAAATAGCAATACCTACGTAAATTAAACCCATTATAAAAAAATTAACTAACTAATCATACCAAAAATTAAATTAAGATCTTTCATATTAATAATATTAAATATTTAAAAGTAAGCATGTATAATACAATTTAATTAACCATCACTCTAGCTGTCTAGCAACATCATAAAAATGTTTAAAAGTTAGATAAGAATGTTAATTGTTCATTACAATTTTAACAGACATACACACATTTTAACATAAAATATGCTGAATTAGCTATCAACAATAATTTGATTCAAGAGCACCAATTTATAATTTTAAAAGCGCTACATTACCCACCCCAAAACTGCAATGCAAAGCCAAACCAAGGCCTCCCTAGTTAATTAACAAAGCATTTTAATTTTAAAAAATAAGCCAATTTCATTTCATTAATTCAAAAAAGTTCCTTATTCCTGACTACTCTTCTAGAGAGAATAGGTGATAAGCTTTCTTTTATTTTTAATGTATGTTTTATAAAATTTAATTAAAACTATTAGTTCTTCTATTATTTATTTTATTTATAAGATTATGACATAGATTTGATTATAATAGTTAGCAGAAAAATTAGCAAAAATTTTATTTAGTAATTTTAGTTCAGTTTTTAGATAGATATTATCAGTTAAATAAAATTAAAAATAAAATTTATAAATAAAAAATAAAATTAGGATTGGACAGCAAGCACAACCATAAAACATCCCAAAATTTGGAATCTGTGAGAAAAATTTGTATACTGAAAAAATGAAAAAAAAAATAAAAACTAACATGAGAAAATTTTGCCAAAAAATCAAAAAATTCAGCATTAAGTTAAATTAATCAAGCAAATTATCCGACGTATCCGCAATTCGTTTGAGATGTGTTGTAAGATGTTGCTAGAGCATCTTTTTAAAAGTAAATCTAATAAGTTTGGAAAACTAAGTTGTTTTAGTAGGTTAAAACACTTTTTTATTTTATATGTTTTCTATTATTATATTAAAATATAATTTTATTTTATTAAAATAATTTATAATATAATATAAAATAAAGTTATATTGTACTTAAGGCATTCAGATGGCTTTCAGCATATTAAAAAACATTCGTCATTGAATGAGTCGAGGCTAAATTCACAAACGTTAATGTTGTTAAAAGCTGCTGAAATTTCTAAGTTTTTTCTAATAAAATCGGAGAGCTAAAAATTATTTTCTATAGAAGAAGCTGGATTACAAAGAATCCTTTCAAAATGGTTTTCTGTTTGCATTTTATTGCCCGATTATTGAATTAATATTGATTGGTTAATTAAATATTAAATTAAATTTATTAAAATTATTCAAACACAATATTTTATTTCTTATATCTTATCATTATGCTCTATCTTGTTCAATTAACTCCAGATGCAGTTTCTGCTTTTATTTAGTAGACAAGGGAAACTCAGATTGCAGAAATGGTTCACTACAAGCTCTGATCGATCTAAAAAGAAAATTACAAGGGAGCTCATTACTACAATTTTAGCAAGAAAGCCTAAAATGTGTAGTTTTATTGAATGGAGAGATATGAAAATTGTTTACAAACGGTTAAATTTTTGTAATATATTTGCACCATTTTATTGCTGGACCACATATTGTGGTTAACGTCTTCAGAAATCTATAATGTATTAATTTTTTAGGTATGCAAGTTTGTACTTTTGCTGTTGTGTTGAACCAGATGACAACGAACTCATTGTTCTTGAAATTATTCACAGATTTGTGGAACTACTTGATAAATATTTTGGCAGCGTTCGTTTTTTTTTATTTCTGTCTATAATATTTTTAGTCAGATATCAACTGTAAATAAAAATTTGACTTTTTCATTTGTATTAATTGACAGGTTTGTGAATTGGACATAATTTTCAACTTTGAGAAAGCTTATTTCATGTTGGATGAATTGCTGTTGGGTGGCGAAATTCAGGAAAGCAGCAAGAAGAACGTTCTCAAAGCTTTAACAGCTCAAGATCTTCTGCAGGAGGTAAGCTGTTTGTATGATCATGATCAATAGAATTTATTTGCCTGTTACAAGTCAACTATTTTTTAATGATCTTCTCTATTTTCTTATTACAAGGAAGAAACACCGCAAGGATTTTTTGAAGACCATGGCTTGGGCTAAATGAACAACCCACTGTATATTATATATATATGTACTTAAATGTATATATACATACTTATATATATGTTCATGTATATATACATACGTAGTACTATGTATAACTGACAGCTTTTGAAAACTTCATTTTTTTATTGTTGTTTTAGTATGGTCAGTAATATCAAAAATTGTTTATTTTTTAGCTTTTTTTGCTTGTTGTGAAGTATTGATAATCAGTATTAATGTATTTAGTGCAAATGTTTTGACTCCTACCTTAAATGCAAACAGTTTTCTTCTGCATATTCAGATGAACATTTTAATTATTATCTGTTGTTTTTTAGTCAGCCTAGTGATCTATTAACATTATTGTTTTAGCATATTGTTTTAATGATGTTTCATAATTACATTTAGTAATAGAAATATATGAAACAACATATGTTATGTATAAAAATATATATTTTAATGTAATAATATATACATATTTATTTATACATATTATATATTATTATTATGATGACGATATGGTAATAATATATAATATTATATTATATAATATTATTATTATATATTATATAAATGTACACATATGCTCCTAAAAATATTTGCTAATCCTGTATTTTAGACATGTTAGATGCAAAATAGTTAATCTAGCATTTATTTAGCAGTTACAAAAAGTTAGGCAAGCATTTGTACGCTTTTAGTAGTGTTCAATTTTTTTTCAATTTTAAATATTTCTAGTCCTAATTTCGAAATATACTGTCGTCAAAATAAAGAACAATATTATATGTATGCAAAGACTGTGTTTTAATTTATTAAATTTGCTGAAACAATAAAAGACATGTCTATCTGAATGTGTTAGCAGTTTTTAATTTAAATGATTCATGAAAATGTTTATCCTCAAAAGAATGTTCTTCATAATCAGTTGAATCGCCAACTTGACCGTCACTGAGTGCATCGTAATGTAGATCGTCATCATTGTGATTGTCACTACCAATGGCAACGTCATTTTGCTCGCTGCAAGTAAGAGACACAGAATTTGTAAATATTTTCAACTTTTCAAGTTTGTATAACATCAAATTCAATAGTCTCATTTTATTTTTCGATGTATCTTTATGACTGATGATTTCATCATTCCAGATTTGTTGAAGTACCACACAGTTGTAACAGATGATGACTGGTAACTTGATTATGTGTTCCCTTTCAAAGCCTAAGCTGAGTAAATATTCTAAACTTTTGATCAAGGCTACGTCATCAATAGATTGAGTTTTGTAAAAATCTGGCAAGGTGGCAGTGTGGTTGTAGTCATCGTGGGGATCAATAATGGAAGACAATTTACTTCTATGCCGGTGCCTCTTCAACAGAACCATTGATTTTTGATCTGAATAATTGTTGCACAAGGCCAGTGGAACTAGGTTCAAATGAAAATTTTCAAAATATTCTACAGAGGTTTTAATTTTTTTCATACTGTGAGTTAATATGTTTGGACAATGAATAATATCACTGTCTTTGTAACCTTTACTTAATAAATATTGAACCTTGTCTGTATGCTTATACAAATTTTTGCCTGAGAACATTGATATTTTATTTAGTATCTCAATGTTGTTATTAATCTTTTTCCCAGATAAGGATTCTTTATTAACCAGTAGTTTATCAACGATTTCTTGAAAAACTGATTCTATTCTACCCAGGCAAGCGACAGGGAGTGGTTTGTTGTAGCCAATTTCACATAACCTTTCAACTCGTTTTTCAAGAACACTGAACGGCACATTATTCAGTAGGGATGTGTTATTTTTTATGTGTTCTAACTGGGCACCATTTTTAAGCAAAAGTTCAATTTTTGAAATAATGTTAGACTGTTTCCTTCGTCCTCCTAATCTAGGATTTTTGATAAAAAGTTCTGCCATTTCATTTTCATCACAGTTTAGCAATATTCTTAGATCTTCAGTGAAACATTTGCTAGATTTAATTTTTATTTGTTTGTCAATGACGTCTTTTAATTTACTCGTTAATGATTTAGTTTTTGCATTGGTGATCATGTTGAGTGTTATTAAATTCTTGTCACATGCTGAACTGAGCAAGGCATATCGTCGGTTTAATTCATCTGGAAGTAATTTCAGTAACTTGGGATGTTCAACAACCTGATAAGTCTTGAAACCCATACTCTTCAAACTCTTCAATGACAGAATGTATTTATTCAATTTTTCATCAGATTTCTCTTGCTTTTGAAATAACTGAAAGAAAAATACATATCAAAAATATAATTTATACCTCTCAATATTCAAAAAAAATAAGTAACATCTAACATAATACCAAATAATCATGAAGACATCTAATGTAATCTCAATCTCAAATAATTATGTAGCTTGTTAGCTCGCTAAATGGATGAATGCTCTTTCCAACATTACAAACATCCTTTACTTTATGATATTTTTATGAAGATCTCAAGTTGTTTACAATTTGGCTACAATGCAAATGCTTTAAACAAGCATTATGAAAATCTTTGTCTGTCTCAACTGGTTTTATATTAGAAGCAATTTTAGATCTCTTTATGACAACAATAACAATAATAATAAACAAGACATACAAACACATACATTCAAAATAAATTATGTTAAAGGAAAGCTAAAATAATACCTTTGTTATTAACATTTTGTCAAGACTTTCAGTATCTTTGCAGTCACAGGGATATCTTACTCTATAATTTGCCTTTAGGTTTAGAGAGATCAATGAGTTTTGAATTGCGCAGAAATAAAATCGTTTTGTAAGAGCTTGGTTCATTATGTTCATTATAATTATGATTGAGTCCTGAAATTAAATCAAATTTAATACTTAACGTGAACTTTATGTCATAAAGAATCATCATATAAAATTGTAAACGAAACCAAATGTAAAATGTTCTAAACGTAGAAACAGTAAACTTTAAAAAAAATAAATCAATGAGTAAATGTAAGTAATCAGTAAGAGTAATCAGTAATGTGATACAATTTCTTGCTATTCAAAGCTTAAAGTTTAATTGTTTATAAAATTATTGTATATTATTTATTATTAATTAAATTTAATTTTTTAAATCATTAAAAGTAATAAATTAAAATTTAATTTAAATTTGATTAATTAAATTAAAAAATATTGGCATTAAAAATTTTTAAAATCATATACCTCTTAGTAAGTCTAAGTCCTAACTGGAATTTATTTGCAGGCACACAAAAAGTTAGTTATATAATAGAAAGCTGAAATTTATAAAGTATAAACGAAAAAAAATTCATGTTTAACTTCCACCCAACCGAACAGAGTAGGACAAACTGTTGAGAGAACAATTTATTATCAACCACTTTTAAAGTTTACCATTGACGTTAAAACTGTTAATGCAAAGAAATGTTAAACAATAGTTTTGAAAACTGGCTTTACATTTACACAATATAAATATTGTGTGTTTGTGTGTGTGTGTACATTTACACAATATAATTATTATGTGTTTTCATTGAATATAATGATAAAAACTTACAACTTATTTAGGTAGAAATTTCACATTTAGAGAACTGCTACGTCATAGCTATTTATTCTGTCATAACCTTTGTTAAACAACAAGTATAAACAAGTAACAAATGTAAGTTTATTGAATAAAATACTTTTTGCCAAATAATATAATTGTTTTCAAAATAAATTGTTTCCTTTCCACAGAAAAATATTGAAACAAAATAAAATCATCAACGAAACACGCAATTTCAATAAAACTCAAAATGAGCTGTGGTTGTGGGTGCCCCAAGCCTGAATGCCAAAGGAAGCAGCAGAACGGCTGTTCCAAATGTCAGCAAAAGCAGCAGATGCCATGCAGCAATTTCGGCTGCAATAGCTGCTGCTGTCAGAACCCCAACGAGTGTTCGATGTTTGGAGCGAACTGTAAGTGCATTCGTCCTCCAACACCTCCCATCGTTGAGCCAGAACCTCGTTGCTGTCCTTACCTGGTCTGTCCTTGTCCAGATCCTTGCATTATCCCTGAACGAGACACGTGCGTAAAACGACCTGAAGATTGTTGCGCAAATATTGGCTGTAATAAGGTGCCAACTGGATACAATTTGAGTTGCAAATCTTGCAATCGTAACTGCCCAGTGGAAACGTATTGTCCAGTTCCCAAGTCTTGTCTTCCTAGGTGTACTCCCAACTGTCCTCAGAGATATCCACATCATCGTAAGTTACTCGTTTGTTTTTTCTTTTTGTTCTCGTTCACATTAGATTAGCTAACGAAGTATCCATATAAGTTTACTTCCGTTATGTTAAATGTATATTGCTGGTCTTAGACGTTAAGATAAAAAATTTAAAAAAATTTTATGAATGTTTGTATTGCTAGCTGCAAGTGTATCAGTTAATTAAATTAATTTAAAATTTTATTTCAAAACAAACAGCTTGGGCTCAGATAGACACCCGGCACTACAATGCTCTTTGATCTGGTTGGTTTGCCGACTTCTGGTTTCCTTCAGCAAAATTATTTATCAAAAAAACGCACAACATTAATCAAATAATTTTTCAAAAATGATTGAACCATTAAAAAAATTTTAATTCAACACCTGTCTAAAAATCGAAAAAATTCTTCGATCACTTTATAATTTAATTAATTAAAACAGTGTTTGCAATAAAAATTCTGAGCAGTCAGTTGTCTTTTTGTTTGCAGAGTGATGGGAATGATGCGTTTCTTTCCATTTGGAGATAACATTGCGTATAGTTTGTAGTTGATCAGGCTCGTCGTCGTCATATCCGCAAGGTGCCTTTCTTATTTTGGTAGTATACAACAAGACCAGTCTTTTTACAAATTTATTTTCAGTTTGAACATTTCATTAATTAGTTAATAATCTTAAGTAACCTACAGAAATAACAAAAAATAGAACTAATTTTTTCGACTGAAATTTTTTATTTTTAAATTAAAATAATTTAATTCTTCAAAATAGCTAATTTTTTATTCCTATTGTTAAAGATCAAATTATTTATTCAAATCAAATAACAGAGAAGAATATTTTTCTATTATATCACCAACAATACATAATTATACTGAACCGTAGAATGATGAATACAAAAATAGTTACTATAATAGAGCGCTGTCATATAATTTCTAATTAGAATGCACTGAAGCATTTATTCATGGATTAAATATAATTGGAAATTGCTTAGGTAGATGAGGTTCAGGCAATCGTGATGTGATGCCGCCATTGAATGAAACAATTTACGTGTTGATGACCGATAATGATGACGACGACGATGATGAAACGATCTGATATAACAATTTATGTGGTGATGACCGGATGATGACCTATCATTATACGATTATGTAAGAGATGAGTGTAATAACTTGGTGACGATGAACAGTGATTTTGTCATTATTATTCAATTTATTAAAATTAATTAAAATAACCGTTGGTGTTCATAGTGAAGCGTATATAGGCCATATTTCGATTTTACTCATCATCAGCGCTTATATAGGAATATTTCAAGGTTTTACAATTCTCTGTGCAAAGTACTTTTATTATGCTTTGTCCTGCGCAAAATGATTTTATTCTGCTTTGTCCTTTTCGTTTATTATAGTTTGGTCCTGTCTACTTTTTATATCTTTGTTCTGTCCAATCTATTTGCTTGTAAATTCTTTCAAAAATATTCTTCTGGTCGGTGATGATGTTGCTATTCTTTGTTGCTTTTTGAAGAGTTTTTCATTGACTAAATAAAACCGCAAATCTATATTTAGTGATGTGTGCGATGTGACCGAGTTTATGATTGTGAGTCGTCTACTCGTGTTGATGAGGATGTGCTATTTTCGAGGATATGAATGTGATAATTTTGATGATAAATATGAAAAGAAAGATGATCACGTGGAAGTGAAAAATGAGCTATATAATATACTGATGTATAAAATGATGATGGGTTTAGATTTTTGCGTGCGTTTATAATGTGTGTGTGCGTGCGTGCGCGCGCGCGCGCGCGTGTGTGTGTGTGTGTGTGTGTGTGTGTGGGCCTGTGTTTATTTGTGTGTGTGATTACGTATCGGTGCTACCATGTGTTGGAATGATGTGCTTATTAAAATAACACTTAGTTTTTTTTACAATTTCATTGAATATTTTTTAAGTAAAAAAATGTGCCACAAATTATTCATCGTATTTTTAGAGTATGTTGTGAGACTCATTTAATATTTGATGGATGTAATAGTGAGTGTTGGAAATGATGATATTACAATGACAATGAGAATGATACAATATGATAAATGAAAAAGGTGAAATAAGATGGTGGTGAAGAATATAATAATGACGATATAGATAATGGCAGTAGTCTCGAATGAAGTACATTGAACTTATAAGACGTCCCACGCTTAGATTCTATGAGATGAATAATAATCGATGATAATACAGTTTCGTACAAATGTGAATTTGAAAATATATTTAATACTTCTCTAATACTAACAAAATACATGCGGAAAAGCACATTACATATATATATACATGATATATATATATATACATATACCATGTATATATGTATATGTATATATATGTATATATATATATATATATATATCACTTGTTTACAATGCAAGTACAACGTTGATTTGATACGAAAGAGCAATTACAACGGGTCATGATAGTTTGATTGACAGTACAACAATGATAAATTGACTAATATTGTACAGTAAGCCGCTAACAGTTGGCGTTAAAACAAATTTCAATTAAAAACTTTTAAGTTTGAAGCTTGTTAGGTGTAGATACAACCGTGTTAAATATAAACGTTTTTATATATATATATATATATATATATATATATATAAATTATATATATATAATAATATAATTTATATATATTTGGAAATCGTAATGTATTCGCATAAAGTTATTATCGTAAAGTTAAATTAACAAATACTTACAATTCACGTTAAACAAACAATGAATTAACATTGTAGAGACAAAGTGTATATATACTAGAGCATTTAGCCACTTACACAACGTATCAATTCGAAATCCGAATATGGTATAGGAATACTGAAAAAAGCTTTTCTGTTCTTTCATTCTTAAAATAAATAAAAATTTTTATTTTGAACTCAAGAAACTTGACTATGGTTTACGATTTACCAAAAATCAAAAAATTAAATAGGAAGCTAACATAGGAATGTATATATATATATATATTATAATTCTAACCCTAACCCTAACCCCGCTCATTATCCTAACATTTTGAATCTCAGCTATAACGTGTGTGTGTGTGTGTGTGTGTGTGTGTGTGTGTGTGTGTGTGTGGTGATGACGTTATTAAATATAGTCACACGAATGCGTTATTATAAAAAATAAAGAGCGTGTTGTTTGTATTATATTTCAGTGCGATTTGTTAAGAAATTATTTCAACAGATAGCAAGCATGGCATGAACTAAATTACGACTGATGTTTGTTTGTATGGCTACAAAATTGAAACATGAGCAATTTAATTCAGTTTTATTACAAATTAATTTAATTGAATTAGATTATTGAAAGTAGAATACACAATACGAATCATAAGATAAATTGTTTTCATGTCAGTTCAGCTAATAGCCTTATTCAAAACATATAAGCATTTATAAAGCATAAAATATTGTTCCCATACTTATACCCAAAATATTCACTGTCATCAATCATATATTTTTCAATCATTGTTGGCATTATCTTTCATATGAAAAAGTTAATAATGACTAGTTTCATTAGCATATCCTTTATTTCATTCATTTCATACTCTCACAACGTATTCACATCATGCAAACTCTTGCTGAAACCATCAACCAATTGATCATACAAATCAAAACCATTTATAATGTGAAATAGACCGTAACTAAGGTTTTAAAGAATAAAATTACATACCAATATGCTGAATAAACTTTTTAATTAACATATAAATCAAAACAAATCTTAAAATAGTTTTTTTAAATATCAAGCTATGTTAGGTACTGATTCCAATAAATTTAATAACAGATGAAAATGCAATTGGATTTTCAATAAAATAGATGAAATGAGTTATTTTTTAAATAAACTTATTTGTTGACAAATTTTTATTCTCACAATCATAAAATCATGAAACCAACTCAAACAAAAAAAAATGAATTAATGATGAACAGATCCTAGTTAAAAATTTTTTTTAATTTTAAATCCATAAAATTATGTCCTAAAACCTACAAAAATTAGATTTCGTTAGCAGACTTCGAACATTAACTCACTGATTCACTCCGTCTGACTTCAAATGTAAAAAAAGGTGGGTTTTTGTTAACCACAAAAATTTTTTTCGAGCACATAGACACGAGCTCAATTTAATGGTAATTTTGATATGCGATATCCTTGTAAGTTGATCATTCCACTAAAAAACAGCAGCAAGCAGAAGTTTTGTTTTTTACGGTTACCATCTGTTCTAAATTATTATTATTCAAGTAATTTCATAACTTTCTATCCTGCCCAATAGGTCATTAAACATGTTTGTAACACAAAATTTAAATATCAAAATATAGAAATTTAAAAAATTGTCATACTTAGTGAACAAAAATAAATAATTATAAAATGTTTTTGTAAAGTAAGAAAAAAATGTTTAAATGATAATAAGAATGTAGAGATATATTAAAATATAATTGAATGGCTTGAAGATCAGTTTCGTTAATGAGGCTCTTGAATTCAATTTGAACACTCCATCACTATGGATGCGACTTATTTTAACACAAATTAATATTACAAATATTAAAATATATATAAATATATTAATCATTTATATACGTATAACAAAGTTTGAACATGGCATTAACTAATTATAAATATTATACATATACATAGAGATTTCATTTTGAACGTTTGAGCTTCTACCCGAGCAATGACATCACATGAAAACAGGTATGCCTATATTTGCAGTGGAGAGTGCGCAGAGGTGAATGAATGCGTTAATAAACGTGAATAAACATTTGATATATTGTCGTTTAAGCTCCTGGGTTAGTATCAATCATCCATCTTCGAGAAGAGTTGTCGAGAGAGAGAGAGAGAGAGAGAGAAGAGAGAGAGAGAGAGAGAGAGAGTACTCATCCATCGTTTTAAAATATTCTCATTTCCCAAAAACAACAATCAGACCACCGTCACTACATCATTCAAAAATGTAAATGACCATTCAAATCTCTGAATGTCCTGCTTAATTTGACAAACAAACATGCGTGCAAAACGCTATTGGTATTTACTCGCGCGCTCCTTTCAATTAACTTGAATACATATAGAGGATAGAGACATATATATATGTATATAAATACACAGTTAAATGAACACACAATTGTATAATGTAAGCAGCAAAAAATAATAATACACCACAGATTGACTTAAAATTAATTCAATATCTGAATACAAAACTCAAATAAACAAAATAAAATTTGTGAACTATGGTGGCATGGCGGATGGTCTGCGGACAGTTTTGTAGAGTGCATGTTGGATGTGGAAGGATCGTTTCGGCGTTTGTCCCGGCGGTCGAGAGGTGGTTGAGATGATGTCGACGCCGGGGGAAGCTCTCCAGTGCACTGGCCCACGACGGCGCCGCTTCTCGAAGTACCAGATGCAGAAGTTCACCGTCGCTAGGATGGCCGTTAGAAAGAATAAGATGAAGACGATGCCGAAGAGTTGAATCATCGGATCTTTTGCCATGTTTGTTAAATTATCTAACCAAGTGGGTGATGACGTCGTCAACGTCTGTGTAGTTGTCTGCATTCCTATTGGTTGGTCGTCCAAGTATTGTTCATCCTGATTGGTTGTTTGTTCTTGACGCTGTGTTGTACTGTAAGGGAATAATTTACACATAAAAAAACTTTTTTGGCATTCTTTTGAATACACATCTTTCTGCAGCAAGTGACGCGACGTTCTGGGCAGCGAAAAAGATTTCTGCCATTGAAAAGTAGAAAATTGTTGTTGATGCTGTTCCATTAAGCTTTGCTCTTGCATGTTCAACATCCATCACTTCTCACTTTTTCATAATTCAACGAATTATTTTGTCTCTTTGTTGAGTTTGTAGAGATGTTGTGCAAGATTTTGTTGCTGACTTTTGTTGCTGTTGTTGCTGTTGTTAAATTAGTTGTTTAAAGTTGAAACGTGAAAGTTTGTTATTTTGCGCCGAGTTTTTTGAAGGTTTCCAATGATTTACTTTGCATGTCGTTGTTATCATAAAATATTCAAACCAACTTTTAAAATTGTTTCTAAAATTAGCAAAATAAAAATTTCATATAAATAATAATGATGGTATTTGAAAAGAGAAATATTTTTAAAACATGCGAAAGGAAATTTTGCGGTTTTGAATTAATCTATTAAATGATGTTGGGAGTTAGAAACAAATTATTCATCGCGAACCAGTCTGTTTTTCTATGTTGTTTTTACATGACAGACTCAACGCATTTTATCAGTGTTAAAAAATTTTTCATACAAACACTTCACTATCAAAAAAAGTTTAAACATTGCGGCAACATATTCAATGGTCAAAAAGTGCAATTTCCATTAGAAAAAAATTATTAGCCATCACTTTCATTATTTACCAAAAATGTTTTATCTGAAAAAACTTCTAAGATGATTCTATGACTTTTAAAATTTTTTATGTTATTAAATAATAAGCAACATCTATCTAGGCAATTATGTAGTTAAAAGCTCTTCCTTTAAAAAAATTATCTGTAGAAAAACAACGGACTGACCAATGATGACTTATTAGTTTTCGTTAAAAATTTTTTAAATTTTTAAAGTTTTTATAAACTTATATTTTTCATAAAATATTTTTCCTATTTGAGTTTTGTTCCTGAAGGTGAACCGGATTACTTGAAGAAAGTTTTTTGACGAAAGACAGAAATTGAAGTAAAATAAGATTATTTGCTGTGTATGACTTAATGGCGGTTCTGAGGACAAATAGGAATTGGGTGACAGATGCATGCATCTGATTTAAAACGATCAACCAATAATCATTGATCATAACGATTGATCATTTCAATGAAGATGTTTAGAAACGAACTGAAATTATATCGATTTGGCAAAGCATTTAATACCAAATACCAAATAATGATCGTCCTAGTCAATATTGTAATTTTATTTTGTAGGTGGTTTAAAATGTTTTTTTTTTCAAAATATTTCATGCCGGAACGACATTGTGTGCAAAGTTTTGACGAGTGACAAATAAATTAAAATTAATTGCTTGCAATGAAACTGAATTATCTCGTGACATGCAACATCACGTTTCCGCGAAGTATGAACGTTTAAAAAATTTTCTTATTTTGCCTTTTTATTTAGTCAACAACATCAAGATCGATGTTGTTGCGCGAAACTTTTATGCTGTTTCAAATTTATTGGCGTGGTGGTACAATTGGTTGCTTCAGATAACATGAAATTACTTTCAGAAATATTAAAAAAACTTGGTCATAATTGAAAAACAATTATTATTATTATTATTAATGAACACATCATTTTAAAATTTTTTTTTTACCGTTTTGTTGATATCTTCAACGAAACACCTCAGAAATGTTTGTTTATACAAATGCTAAATTAATATTATCAACAATAATGAACACCAGTAGTGAGAACATTTAAAACATTTCTCACGTAAGAGCCATTCGTAAATATTTCGACAACAATAACAATTAAATTTTGGAGAACAATAATTAAACAGTAACAGCAAAACTTCAACACAAGAACGAAAGTAACGGAAGGTAGCACAAAAAACTGTGTGACAAGTGTCAAAAAAATAATAACAGCAATATCATCAACATTTGCATCAACGTTCAAACAACCGACAACATCAATATCAATAGAAGCTGCAACAGTTGCCGCAACATTAATGTAGCAACAACAACAACATTGTTAACAACCAAATTAAAATACTACAAACCAAATCTCGCAGAATAACAAAACAGTAATGCAATCAACACATTAAGTTCATTTTGGCATTAAAAGAAAGCTACCAATTAAAGTTATTTTAAAGTTTTTTTTATTTTAGTTTATTTAATTACTTAGTGCGGAACCTGTTTGCTCCGGTTTTTATCTAATTTGTGTTGCGCGAACAAATTCTTTTTAATTAATTCGTGCGTCTTTTTTCTAATTGTGAAAATCCTGTGAAAATCTAAATTTTTATTAAGATGGCAAATTTCATATAAATTTTTTTGAATTTCAAAATCAGTTCCATATCAGCTAAAAAGTTTACTCCAAATTCAGTCAATCAAAATCAGTTTGAAAATTTTCATGTAACTTGTTCTAAATTTTGTGACCATTTTTGAATAACGTATTCACAATTTTGTGCCTAATCTTGAAGCAGGCTAATTAAATAATGATTGGTAGTATTTCAAAGGTTTCTTGTTCGCTAACATTATTAAACACGTATTTTGTTGAATAATCTGCAAAATTGGCAGAATTCATAGCTTCATAAATTGTAACTTTGTCATACTGAAACTTTTCAACGGAGAAATGTTTTTATTATTTGGGAGTGAATGGTGTGTTTCATTGAAAATGCGTATTAATGAAGGAAAGTTTTAATGGATGTCGTTACAATGAAGTTACGTCTCGATGAGCGGTGGTTCGTTATAATGAAAGTACGTTATAATGAAGGTACTATATGGTAAGAGACTTTAAAAACATGATGTACGCAAGTTTTGCACTTATTTTAACATTTGCGTAAATTGTGACTGAACAAAATCTTAGTTGTTTTAAAAAAAATCACACCTGAACTGAACTTTCAATAAAAATCTGATACTGCAAACACGCAGAGAGCACTAGTAACAGTAGAGTAACAATCAGTTACTTATGATCGTATCGTTAAAGCTGAATAAATATTTCACAAAACTATTTTCAACGTTGTACAATTAGCAGCAAAGTAAAACAAATGTACTCTCTCTTGTCAATAGTAATCAGATAAGTAATGAGAATGAATGAAAAGTGTGCGCACACACACTAGAACAAAAAAGCAGACGACAAAGCCCTGCATTCAAATGCTTTCTTCCCCACGGTTGAATTAAAGTGTCATAAGCCGTTCAATAGGATTTTAAAGCATTTCAGCGAAATAAGCAGGCAGACAATGTGTGTATGTCTGTGTTTAGATTTGTATGTACGAACATATGTATAAATGTAAATAATATGCATACCAACACATACATGTATATAATATATATATATATATATATATATACACGTATAAATTTATTATTTATTTTTTTATATACGCGTTTATATATGTTTTATAAAATAAGCTGAAACATATTAGTTTACTTATGTGCAGCTAATGTCTACGTGTGTATTAGTGTATTTGTATTAATGTATTAGTGTTGATTTTTTGAGTTGAAAGATTTTTCATTAAACTGCTCCTCTATAAACCTCCAAAGGAAATACAGTTTTTTATTCTCTTTAACATTTTGTTGTAGTTTCAACCATTCCATTACCAACGTTAACATTCTGCTTGTTTGTTTAGCAGGAAATTAACAAATTGGTGCATTAAATAGCAAAAAGAGCTAAACAAATCGAAGTTTATAGGGAAGTGACAAACAGCCGACATCGCAAAAACATTGGGAAGAGTTGCATCAGCTTTTCATCAATCAGACGCTCTTAACGTGGGTGCTTTGGATTTTCGTAATCGAATTTGAGACTAAAAATTTCAAAAAAGCAATCAAAACCAAACTCACTCCATCAATCGACTAAACTTTCAAGTGCTCGCGAAATATTTTCAAAAATTGCATCTCAACTACTTCACTTGATAAAGTAATCAACAGACGGCTTGAGAGACTAAAGAAACAGCCGCAATATTTTATTAGTGACTGTAAAACTCCAACAACAATATAAGAGTCATCCTCTCCACAACATCATCGCCAACAACATCATCTCTATAACATCATCTCCATAACATCATCATCAACAACATCATCATCAACAACATCATCTCCATAACACCATCGTCAACAACATCATCTCCACAACATCATCGCCAAAAACATCATCTCCATAACATCATCGTCAACAACATCATCTTCACAAACATCATCGCCAGCAGCATGAGTCAACCAAGTAAAGTAGTTGAGAAAATATTTCAAGAGGTGAAGAACGAAGACTTGGCTTCCATCAAACAAATTCTCTCGGCTGACAAGGACTTAAAAAAATGGTGTTCACTCGTTAAGTGGGTTACTTGAACGTTTATTTTATCATAATAATCATCATCTTAATTATTATCATCAACATTGTCAATAAGTTTTACCATAACAATTTTTTAAATTTATAATTTAAAATCTGTTAAACCAACAATTTTAGAGAAGAAATAGCAATAGTCACCTTAATGGAAAGTTTGTTGGAGTCCGACATAATGCTACCAAGATTAGTGATGTGTGGCGTACGAGTCATGTCCCCACTGCACTACGCTGCACTAAGAGGGGCAGATTCCATTCTCGCTTTCATCCTGGCGTACACCAGAGTGCCAGTTCAAACGACGCTGAGTGGGGGATCGTCGCTCCTTCATATGGCATGCTTTGCCGGAAACATGACAACGATCAAGATGCTAATTGATGAATGGTCAGCAGATGCGCATCAAAAAGACAGGTTTGTCTGGTTGTGTGTATGTCTGGTTATCTATTTGTATGTCTGGTTGTGTGTATGTTTGGTTATCTAGTTGTATGTCTGGTTATGTGTTTGTTTGGTTGCGTAGTTCTGCGTTGGGTAGTTGAGTTGGAATTGATACAACATGGTGTGGCAAAAAGTGAAGAATAACGTTTAACGTTTAAAGTTTATTGTTTCGTTTGAGATTTTGAAAATAGAAATAATTTTTTTTAGCAAAAAATAAATGTAAACTAATTCTAAATATTTTTATTTTCAGCTACGGTTGGTCACCACTGCACTATGCAAGCATAGGAGGTCAGTTGTTGTGTGCCGAAGAACTCTGCCGGAAGGGAGCCAACCCGATGGACCGAGACCAAGATGGAACCACTCCCGCCTACAGGGCATACAATTTCGGGCACGATGATTTGGTAGTATTTTTCAAAAATTTGACAAGAAATAATCCCAAGCTGTTAATTGTAGAGCAGAACGGAGCCAACAACGGAGCTAGCGACAACAGTGTGAATAAAAGGAGAACATCGTCTAACAAAATAGCTGACATCGATTTCATCATCGACAACGCTTATGACTTCCCCGACGACAACATGGTAACAAAAGTTCAATGCAAATATGTGCCAAGCAAGGAAACGAGCAACAACGACAAAACTGTAAATGTCGGAGGAAGTATATATGATTTGCCAGATAATATAGATAGCAATAAGTTGGCGCCAAATATTTCTGATGATCCAAAAAAAGAAATCTCGAAGAAAAAAATACAAGCTCTTGTTGAAAGTCAGTTAAAAGACGTTTTCAACGATAATTTCAGTGATCCCTATCTACAACCAATCAACGACAATTCAAATTTGTATGGCACAATGAACAACGGCAGTATTCAAAACATCGGTTTTAAAACTCTGAAATATTTGCTTAAATCTGAATTTCAGAAATACAAATCTACGATAATCCCTCCAAACCAAACCTCTTACCCGCAACAACAACAGAACAAAGACGATCAAATATACGATGATATTTACGAAGAAATAGTTAAATGTTCCGTAAGAGACAGAGAGAACAAGTGGGTGAGAGGAGGCCAGACCGTAAGGGGCAGATTTGATCAAGAAAGACCTCCCCTGCCTCCGAGAAATTCAATAATAAAAAACGATCCCTACAGAACAAACCAGCCACCTTCAGGAACGCCTCAAGCAGACCAGTCAGTCAGCAAGGATTTCAATGTGGCGAGCAGCAAGTTGAACCTCATCGAGGAGACCCAAGTGATAAAAGAAGCATGCTTCAATGAACTCCTCTGCGTTCTCGAATCTGGAGACTGGCAAAAGTTGGCTTTAGCACTGCCCATTCGAGATAATAAATCTTTAGCATCAGAGAAGGTTAAGAAATTATTTTTATTCGATTGTTTATTTCTTGAATTAAGTTTCATTTATCAATTAATAAAATTAAATTTTTAAATAATTAAATTTGCATGGCTTATGTGTTTATTTGTAATTAAATCGATTAATTTATCGTTCACTTGTAATTTTTATTTGTAGATAAAGAAGATAGAAAAACAATTTCCAAAGGATCCAAGGAAGCAGGCCAGAGCGGCCTTGCAAGATTGGAACTTTTATTACGGAAAGAACGCCACTTTGGATAAACTCGTAGAAGCCATGAAGAAGTGTGGCCTAGTGGAGAAGATACACAATGTCGAGTTAGCAAGCAAAAGTGAATTTGCTGCTTAATTTTTTTCAATTTACCCAAACGTGCCATGTGTGTATGCCTGTAACGAATAAATGATATATTTTGAATGCAACATGCAACAAATCATGCAACAGAACGAGCTATTTAAAAGTATGTTTCTAATAACAAGACAGCAATAACTGAAACAGTGAATAAAGCAATACTTTTCATTATCTTTATTCACGGTTATATGAATATGCATTTAATAAAGATATATTTTATGAGCAATAGACTTTGTATACAAATGTAACATATCAAATGTGTTATATACATCTGTTAACATGTAGATTTTGAAGTTGACTCATTTCATTTCATACTTTTTGAATTAATTTCCAATCGGTCAGCACCTACCAATTTGATTCGTCAGTAAATAATATTTGTTACTAACTCTTGAAACTTATTTAATAATCTCTGCCAAAAGGTTAAATAATTTAGTTGTTTTAAATAAAACATTCTTTAAATTATAGTATGCCGATAGCAAAATTGAAATTTTAAAATTCTTATGAAGACCAATCGGTTCAGTGAGAAATTTCTCTTCACGTACAAATCAGGGTGGGAGAATTTCAAGAACAATTTTCTTAGCACCGCATGACACTTCTTGTAAGAAAAAAAAATTTTACTAAAAGCACGAGCGAAGAACAATTTTGTCTAATCGTGCAACATTTTGTCTAATCGTGCCTAAATTCAATTACGCCGTACATTTAAATGTCTCAAAGTGCTGGTACTAATTAGCATTTAACTTATTTATACAAGTTGAAAATTATTCACACAAAAAAATTAAATATTCCACAACATTCGAAATATTTTCACTGTTGCATGTAATTGATATATTTGCAATAACAACTATTTACAACCAAGCATAAAAACTAGCAGAGCCATAAAAATTTTCATAACACAACGCTGTTGATTGAACGAACGAGCGAGCGAACGAACGAACGTGTTCACCGTTCTACAGAAGTCAAAGTAATAATGACTGAATTGTTAAAAAACTGATTATACAACCTGGAAAATATTAAAAATTTATTAATATTATTTGTTTGTCATTTTTGATTAACTTAACATATTAATTAGCATATAAATAAAGGATAAACTATAAACGAATTTAATACGCAGTTATTTCAGTGCATGAAATGTCGAAAAAACATTCTCAATTAAAATGTGTATTTTAATATTGCCAATTAACAAGAGAAACGATGTTTAATAAAATTTTGACGGACCTAATTTTTTAAAATTTCATTGTACTTCTGCTAAATTCTTACCAATTATTATTATCATTATTGGTTTCGCTCTCTTTTTTTAACTTGAAAAAATTAGAAAATTTCAAAATTGGCAAAAAATCAAAGAATTTTTGCTAAAATTTTTCAAAGTTAGAATCCGACAATTGGGTTTCATACTGTTGATTGCCTATTATTCAAGATTATTTTACTTATCAGTGCAATTAATTACTTCAATATTTTTCTCTTTTTCACAGATTTACAACATTAAATTAAACACTAATAAGACATTTTTTGAAATTAGATGAACAGAACTTTAGAACAACTCTTGAGTAGAAGTAGGATGTCGGTGATAATAGTTTCACCAGTAAACATTGAATCTTAAAAGAAAATTGTTTTTTGGCTAAGATATAATCATGAAATGTTAACATAGCAGCTGTTGATCGTTTCGTAGCCACGTCGGTGCACTTCTATAAAAACAACTGAGGAAAAGGTACATGATACAAGGGACTAACGGTTTTCATAATACGGATAAAAAAGTCATGAAAATCTTCCGATGGTTTTCCTACACATTATCCAATTGCATTCTGTGAAGATGACTTATTTGAGTTACATGTTTGCATTGCATTACGATAGGACACCTTCAATCAAGCAATCTGACCAACCGACGTTGCTGTTATGTTTGTTGCTGTTATGTTTGTTGTTTATCGTTGTTTGTTGTGTTGTGTTCATGTTGTTGTTGTAGTCAATGCATTTTTTAACATTAAGATCTTTATTTGAATTCTTGTGTCGACCCATTAGAAATCACTCCAAAAGTTTCATGCATATTTAATTTACAGTTTTGTTCTTATTAAAATTAAAGTGCTTTAAAATTTTGAAAGGTGCGTCTGCTTGGCAGATCAGCAGATGCACTGAAATTCATTTAGGCTATTTGGTACTCAAATTTGAGTTTAAAATTTTTTTCATTCCATGAAAGTTTAATTTTCGAAATGGGTTCGTAGCTCCGACCTAACTTTCCACCATCCAATCAACAAGCACACTTGCCGTTACTAGCGGAAAATTTTTAAACAATTTTGCAAAAGTTGTTGTATTTTGCTATTTTTTTTCAAAAATTTTAATGTTTTTTGATCAAACAAATTAAAAAATGTAAAAATAAAATGTAATAATTACGTTTAAAGTTCAGATCGAAAAATATTTCACCGAAAACAGAATTTCAAAAAACTATTCATTACATGCTACTCATTTCGTGCTAAATTAACACATCTGAATCTAGATCGTTTAGTCATTTCCTGAGCTGTCATCATCATCATCACCAATCATTATCATCATCATCACCTATCATCATCAGCAGCAGCATTATTTTTATTATTACTATTATTATTTTTATTGCTATTATTATTATTTTTGTTGTTGTTGTTATTATTATTATAATTATTATTATCAGTAGTAGTATTATTAGTAAATGTAGCTGTAGTAGTAGTAGTAGCTGTAGTAGTAGCAGTAGTAGTAGCAGTAGTAGTAGCAGTAGTAGTAGTAGTAGTAGTAGTAGTAGTAGTAGTAGTAGTAGTAGTAGTAGTAGTAGTAGTGGTAGTAGTAGTAGTAGTAGTTGTTGTTGTTTTGTTGTTGTTGTTGTTGTTGTTGTGATTATTTTTATTTACTGTTATTATTATCATCATTAATCATCATCGTCTCAGCACTTTTCGCCTTAATGATATCACCACGAACTTACATTATTATCGTTGAGACATACATTGATCATCATCATCAAATGTGTGAGAACGTTAAAAAAATGATTACATCGCACGTTCGTCCAGTCCATAATGTTTGTTGTTACTCAACTTTGCTGTTCACAATTACTATAGCTCTTGATTACAGTACTATGTTTCTTTAGAGACAATTATGATTAATTAGTAATTAAATACTTTTTATCGGTTAAATTTGTTATATCCAGCCCTACTTTACTCAATAGTATTCAAAATTACTTACAACGTTTGTTGATTGTAAAACAGAAAATTAGGGATGAGATGATAATCCAGAAAATATGATTAGCAAATCATTATATATTATTGTTATTATTATTATTATTATATGTAGCGCTTTTACAAAAAAAAGTTTCCCAAAAGCACCCTCTAAATGATGTCACAATTAATTTACCATATAATAATATACTCTTAGATACGTACATGCGTAAAAATTAGTTAACATTTTCATAATTTTCTGCTCAATTCCATATAAATTTTAATTTACACCTCTCATATTATTTTTGTTTGCATTGTAAGCAGAGTTTGTTTACACTATTTACGTTATTTATTTCCACAGTTGCCAAATGAATGCCGCCTGTTACTATTAACTATTGTTGGTGTTGTTGTTGCTGTTGTTGTTGTTGTTGTTAATGAGGATGATGCTGTTGTTGGTGTTGTTGAGGGTAGAGATTTTGTTATTGTTAATGATGTTATTATCAATGATGATGCGGCCGAGGATGATGTTGTGGTTGTTGTTGATGTGGTTATTGTTGATGCTGATGTTGTTGTTGTTGTTGCGATTGTTGTTGTTGCTGCTGCTGTTGTTGTTGTTATCATGTTTATGCAAATTTTTTTGATGAAGTTGTTTTTGTACGCACGGTTTTATTTGCAAGGAAGCATAAATTGATAAATGAACAAACAAACAGTCACGTGATGTTCAAAGTGAATCTTCAATGAATGAATGAATTGGTGAATGAAAGGAAGAAATAAATGAACGAAACGAATGAATAACCGATTGAATGAATGAATGAATGAATGAATAAATAAATTATATAAATGAATTAAATAAAAACAAGTGCCTGCACTCAGTTCCAATAAAATTCAGATGCCTAAAAATTGTATTTTCCAAGTGCAAGCACTGCGGCGAAGGAGTTCGTTTGATGCCTTGCTTCGCTTGGTATCAAGTTTAAAAAATTTAGACAAAAAATTAATATGACTGATTCTTTTTAAATGAATGCATGTGAAAATGTCGAATGTTCTGTTTGTTATTTTTCATCGTTCATTTATTAACTGATACATATATATATACAATAATTATACTAAACATACTTCTATTTAATTATATTCAATTTCATCATTTAGAATATTTTTAAAAGTTCTGTTAAATTCCATTCAGTTTTCAAATGCACTAGCAGATTTAATAACAATGTAATCAACGTTTACTGCACGACTGACCGAAAAAAATTCCAATAACTGCATGTTTTTAGGCTGCACATGCCACGGCATAACTCAATTCATCCTTTATGCCGCATTAAAACGCCATGAAACGCCCACCAATCAAACATTGTGCAACCAACTGAACGAGTGTGCGTGAATTTGTAAGAGGAATGGTTGGTTGGATAGGCAGGTATCGCGATGCAACATTAACCGCAGTCTACGTGTTCCTATATGAGACTCGTCGTGCTTTAGAAGTACCAAATTTTTACTGTTTAATTTGTATCTATATAAACAAGCCTTTTTTGTTAACTAGATTTAATTGCAAATTAAAAATATGTATTACACAATATTATACAATAAAAAAAGAGTTATATAATATATATCACACACACATACACACACACACAAAATGTTCATGTTGTCCAAATATTTAACTTAAAAGATTAATCGCTTGTCGTAAGTGAACTGTTGAGATACAACACAGCGTTCTCCCCGTTGTTTAGTTCACAACTGAGGCTTCAGGTTTTTTCTAATGACGAGTGTTCTTTTTCAAGTTTATTTACTTCAAGGACAAAATTCTTAAATGTTTTATACAATTTTGATCTAGCT